AGGGACACATTTGTAACCTGATTGTTTTGCAAAATCAAATTGCGCATAGTCTTTCACATGTTTCAATGAAAACCGCAGGGATCGCCGCTTAACTGCAATGAATTTTGTTTGTCTTCACAGGAACTCGACGCTTCTGCAATGATATTAAGCTGATGCTTGGTTTTACTCCAGGAAAATTCTGGCAAATATGTTGGACTTTTATCAGCCCGCTTTTCCTTTTGGTAAGCCTCCTCTGTTGGTTTTTTGACGTTGCTTATCTTCGATTTGGTTGTTTTTTCTATGCACAATTTGAGGATAAACTGCAGAAGGGGTACTGCCTGTAGTTACTAAGACTTACCATCAGGTCAAGATAACCCACAACCAAGGCCCTGCGACCCTGGGATAAACGTGGCATTGAGCTGAGTGACTGTCAACCTACGCAAGTTGAGTCGCGGNCGCGGTCGCACAGTTAAAACCTCCGAGGCTCATGAGTGACACCGAGTGCACTTGGCAAGGAAGTTGTTCAATATGCGCTGGTGTAATGGTCAAATACAGGATTGATAGGTCAAAGATACAATTCTTTCTACCTTCGTTGCTCGCATTTCAAGATACTCCAGATTCTCGAGCCTGACGATGGCTGCTTTAGATTAATCGATTAATAAGATAAGGCAGTCCTGTTGACGTGAGCATTTCCCCACTGCTGTCTAACACCCAAATCTTTGAATGTTAAGCAGCTATTAAATTACCCACTCCGCCTTCTCCCAAATTAACTGTACAAGAGTTAATTTAGTGATAAAGAAGGAAATTAAAACAAAAGCACAGTCGAAAATGGTTAAAAACAATGCATTATCAAGCATGTGTATACGTTCACGCAAGCAGCAGTAGCTGTGGCATTTAGCTTTAGACAGACGATACAGATGACGAATAAACTGATGCTCGTACAAGTAGAGCACAACTGCAAGCTCGTAACCAGTCTATCGCGAAACAGAAACCGGGGAACGAAGTAAATACAACCTTGTGTGTTGGATAAAAGGGTCATCGTAGGTGCGAACAGCAAGGGAAAAATGTAATTGGAATCACGGCTAAGAAATGCATCATGCTTTCACATAACCGAGACCGTTACAATGCTTAAAATTTGCTTTCGGCTGAATTCATTTACTCTGGTTNCTCTGGTTGTGAGATTTATGCATTGAGGACCACGAAGCAGAATTCACGAATAACAACCTGCCATCGAATCGAGCTAAAGGAGTGCATCCACAAGGAAACTCGGCACTGTATAGAGGTGTAAAAAGTTGATGGCCGCAAAAATCGCGGAAAAAACACAAGAGCCAATGAGATTATCGCGACCGAGAGGGTGTCTCATTTTATTGATAATGACGAAATTTAGCGAAAAAGCTATAAAAAATCCGTAGAAAGTCAATCTGGATAAATATAGCCGGCTATAAATAGACCCAGAATGGCTAATTTTAGCTACCGTTGCATCTTTCTGGTTATCCCAAAGTGCTCAGAATTGCCCTGTTTGCGCAAAATTACGAGCTGAATGTGGTAGACAGTTTAACGAGCA